TACTTTGGCTTAAAATTCTTTAAATGAATAAACCATTTATTTTTTCATTGAACATTTCATTCTAATGCGGATTATTCTGGATACACATGGATTTGAAGGCTCATATTTCATCAGTGAGCTGTAAGCGCTGATTTTCTTAGCTAAAAAAATCCCTTTGCTGAGACTAAGGTATGATTGGTCAAACAAATGACGAACCTGTCCATTTAAGTTAACTTGCAAGAAAAGTACCAAAGTAGATGGCTTCACTGGCCATTAATACCAATTTATAAGTTTATTTTAATGTCCAGTAAAAAAAATAATTCGTTTTTTTTTGTGTCTCATTGCGTCTTTAATTGCATAATAGTTTTAACAAATTTGACAATTTGGTTAATTTGAATGAATGGATAATCCTCTGTACAATAACAATTGTTTAAGTGTTTAACCCCAAAAACAAGTTTATATGTCTTTTGTTAGCTGGTCCTGTGGGAAATTGCAGACAGAATATTGCAGGTTAAAGACCAATTATTTCATAGTAAAAAGATCTTTTAAAGGATAAAGAATACACTTTAAGTTTACTGGGTTCATATAAACCTAATATGGCATGTTATTATCTATACTCTAAGATAAAAAGAAGTTGAATGTAGATTATTTTGCTGTCCAAGACATAAAGTCACTGACAGAATTGTATGATCAATTTTATTCATTGACTAGGACTTCTTCCATATTCTTCTACATTATCCTGAAATATAAGCGAACAAATGAATGGTGTTGGAAAAATAATTTGAAGTTAATGTTAAAGCAAAAAAACATCTGGAACATCCATTGTCCTAGATCAAAATAAGCTAACCCGAGATTTCTCTGTTGCTCCTTTAAAATATGAACATGATATTTTATGTGAGAACCTACTGAAAACTCTCAAGGAAAAGAGTTATATAGCTATTTTCTTCTTTCATTAACATCTCATAAACATCAAGGTTTTCAAGTACTAACCTTTGATGTGGTGTTAATACATTGAAAATAGAAGTTCTATATATCAAGATCTACTTCTGGCATATTTATACCATGTAAATTGTTATATGTATTATATTTATGTTCACCTATTAGCCATAATTTACCCTTTTCCATAAGACCAACACAAGAAAGGGAATGATAGAGGTGCAAATGAGTATGTTGCTACATTCAATTTATTGGCCATTATACAATTTTTCTTCATAAGAATTGGAAGTTTTTTAATATGAGGACTCTTGTCAATTATAGATACTATATCACATTTCTCTTGACCATTACTGCCCATGTTGAAATTTTTGACCTGCAATAACAAACCTCTCTTAACAAGTTGTAATTTAAATGAAGATTGGTATACATAAAGGAAGGTTTGTCCAGTCCTAGTTATTTAGTTAGAGTGGTCAAGTCTATTCATACAAGATGATCTATTGACTGGACAAATAAGAACTAGATGATGGTCAATAGTGAGTGACCAGTGACCACTACATCAAATAACACATTTTCTGTAACTTGTTCATGTCTAGACTAGGAAGTTAAAATTAGAAAACACACCTTACACATAACAAAAAGAGACATTGAAAATATATTTGTGAAAAGAGAATTCTGATATAAGAAATTAAATAGTTACTATATGGAGAGTGAATGTTCTCCTGCTTGGTGTTGCCTAAACAATTATAAGTACCAGTATGATAAAACACAATTGGAGAGAGGTCAAGAATTAAAGAGCGTCACATATTGCCCTGAATTTTAAAGTTACAGTCACGTATTGCCCTGTATTTGATAGTTACAGACACATATTGCTCTGTATTTGATAGTTACAGACACATATTGCCCTGTATTTGATAGTTACAGACACATATTGCCCTGTATTTGAAAGTTACAGTCACATATTGCCCTGTATTTGATAGTTACAGACACATATTGCCCTGTATTTGAAAGTTACAGTCAGATATTGCCCTGTATTTGATAGTTACAGACACACATTGCTCTGTATTTGATAGTTACAGACACATATTGCCCTGTATTTGATAGTTACAGACACATATTGCCCTGTATTTGAAAGTTACAGTCACATATTGCCCTGTATTTGAAAGTTACAGTCACATATTGCCCTGTATTTGATAGTTACAGTCACATATTGCCCTGTATTTGAATGTAACAGTCAGATATTGCCCTGTATTTGATAGTTACAGACACATATTGCTCTGTAATTGATAGTTACAGACACATATTGCTCTGTAATTGAAAGTTACAGTCACATATTGCCCTGTATTTGATAGTTACAGACACATATTGCTATGTATTTGATAGTTACAGACACATATTGCTCTGTATTTGATAGAGTTGACGAAATATTTCACTTTCACTATGTTAAAGAAACAAGATAGTAAAGTGAGAAAATCAATGTTTAAAGTGTTGACACTATCAAGATAAACAATAGTGGTCAAGATTAACTGGTCAGTGATAAATACTGACCACTAACTCTAGATTGAGATAACATATTTTACATACCATTAACAACTTAAGTGGCTATCCTTTCTTTATACTGACCACTTGACCACTTCCATTCATTCATTTACAAGCCGTATACATTGACTTTCAATCTCAGCCAAATGTCCCCAACACAAGTGATGTGATCTTCTACATGGAATGAATCAGAATATAAACTTTCAACATTTAAAAAATTTTGTTCCTTTGTACAGGTGTGCTTCATTGCCAATAGTACATGTACTTTGTTTCAATAATTTTTTTTAATGTTACCCCATACAAAGATTGTCCTAAATTTCTTCAGGCATATATTTGTGAATGATATAGATATAAGCTTACAGTAAAATTGTTTACATTAGTTGAAATGTTTGTACCATTCACACAATATTCACATCATAGAGCCTTGTTAAATGCTATCCTTTTAGGGGATTTATCTCTCATCTTATCTAATAAGGAAAAATGATTTACTAGCCTTTTTTGAGTATAAAAGGATTGCTTCTATTTTGCATCATTTAGATTTCCGGCGTTATTCATTCTTTTAATTTCAGGAAACTTGATGTAAATGTTGTAAATATCTTTTGGTTTGAAGATATATTGTTTTTCAGTCTTTTAATTAATTATGTATTTGTTAGTGTTTACATGTCCATGTCTCAAGTTGTATACATGTTATTTATATACAGAGTCTGGAATATAGGTTATTAAATGTTTATATATATATTAATAGATTGTTGTAAACTATCAGAAGTTAATTAAGACATGATATAAAGTTGTCTAATCAGCGTCTATCTTATCTCTCTACTTATTCCACTCTTCATATCATATACCAGCAGGCTCATATTACATAGACTTTACTTCTTTAAAACATATATCTTCTCATAGCCTACTACTTTACCAGCTATAAGAATTGCTGATCACTTCTTAAAAATGATATGATCTCTGATAGTCAGGTTTTGGGTTTAATTCAGATATTTGTATGAGTGTATTGGAATGGAAACAATATCTATGCCTGATAGATTTATCACAAATTTATCATAATTTTTGTTAAAGAAGTCCTAAACTATAGTTCACTTTAATTGATGACACCTATCTTTATAATATATTTTTTAAGTAAACTTAATATTACCAGCTTATTCAGCCCCTCCCCATCATCCCACCCCAAACAGATGGTGTTTGCAGCCTTTGAAGATTCTAACATGGATATTTGGATACTTGTGATATGCATTTATAAAATAAACATCATAAAATAATAATCTTATCACATCTGGTGGACATTTATTTAACATGTGTTTTGATGTTGAGGGAGTAATTTTGGAAATAAACAAAGAATTTCCTCTTCCCTTATGATTAAACATACCCCATGGTGACTAACATATACACAAACATTTTACATTTCATTAAACCAGATTGAATTTCCTTTTACCATGAGTCAATCTGACAAATATCCAGTTGATAGTTAATTACACATTGAAATATTTCCATTAAATAATAGTTTACTAGCTGAAATATTTCAATGTGTAATAGACTGCTAATTATTGAAATATTTCATTGAATAACAGTTAACTAGGTAATTTGAACTAACCACTAACAAGTACACATTGTATATTAATACTCTGTATTTAAAATATTTCATAAATGGTGGTTGTAATTCAGTGAAATATTGAATTGTCAGTTAAAATACTAAACTGTTTATGAATTGTTTTAAGCAATATATTTTTATTGAAATATTTCTCAATTTATTGTTAGCTTAAATCGAAAATTGCGCCATTTTTTTTATCAATCGTACCTTAGTCTCAGAAATAGGAATCAGTAATAGTGTTGAGATCCATGTGTGTCCAGAATTATCTGCGTTTGAAATTAAAAAAGATCAGTTGTATTTTTTTGAGTCACTGCCATACATAAAAAAGACAATCTATAGAAATAGAGAAAGGAATTCTCAGTTGAGAAATTTTTGAAGGAATTATGCGATTGTCATACATTTATAGTACTTTGAAGACAACATATATTCGAGACTCAAATCATCCCCCCAAAATGGTGCATCTGTCCCTTTAATTGAAATAGACTGTGAAATATTTATTAAATGATAGATTTTGAATTGAAATAGTTTCTGAATATTGAATTGTAACTTCAAATATTTTCTTAAATAGTAGACAATTGAGTTATTTCCTTAAAAAGATATTACCAATGACAAATTTTCTGCTGCAATAGACCGTAATTGAAATATTTAACTAGTAAAAAAGCTTAGTGAAACATTGCCTTTAAATAAGAAATTATTGATAGATGTTTCAAATGATAGATTACTACATGAAATTTTTCTTTTTAATAATAGACATGATACATTTACCCGTAGACAGCTGATACCAAACATGTAATTATAGATATATGGAAATGCTTTTTCAGAATGTATTAAATGCAAATAATTTATATAAATATTATTATCAATATTTTGGAATGTTTAAATTGTTCATAATAATGAATGTCCAAAACACTATTTTGTATTATTGCTGACTTTGTCAATAATGTTGAAAACTATGTTTTATTTTCTAATTAAGTATGAGAAACCATTTCTTCTTACAGGATTGGAAGGGCAGCGGAGAAGAAATAGACAGAGATCACGATGTGAACAGGGTAGTTGTTACCCAGCAACGGGAGATTTACTGATTGGACGTGAAGATTATTTATCAGCCTCCTCTACGTGTGGTGCAGAGCGTCCAGAAAGATTCTGTGTTGTCAGTTATTTAGAAAAAGACACTAAATGTTTTCAGTGTGATTCTCGTCAGCCATGGAGAGAGGGTTTCAATGAACGTAGTCATAAAATATCAAACATTGTATCATCATTCAAAGACAGACGTAACCGTTGGTGGCAAGCTAGAAACGGTGAACAAGATGTAACTGTTCAGTTAGACTTGGAGGCCGAATTTCATTTCACTCATTTAATTATGACATTTAAGACCTTTAGACCAAAAGCATTACTCATTGAAAGATCATACGATTTTGGTAAAACATGGAAAGTGTATCGTTATTTTGCTCAGGATTGTGCTCGTTCTTTCCCTGGTGTTCCACGTGGACCTGTTCGTTCATTAACTGATGTTATTTGTGTTCAGAGATATTCAGCAGAAACACCTTCAACAGAGGGAGAGGTGAGTCATTTTTTTTCTTAATGTGTTGTACCAGAAATACACATGAACAGTTGGTTGAATATTTCATCTCCCTCCTACAAATCCCTTATTCAGATGTGTCATGTCTGCATCATTTACAGTACATGTATTCAGATGTGTCATGATTTGCATCATTTACAGTACATGTATTCAGATGTGTCATGATTTGCATCATTTACAGTACATGTATTCAGATGTGTCATGTCTGCATCATTTACAGTACATGTATTCAGATGTGTCATGATTTGCATCATTTACAGTACATGTATTCAGATGTGTCATGATTTGCATCATTTACAGTACATGTATTCAGATGTGTCATGTCTGCATCATTTACAGTACATGTATTCAGATGTGTCATGATTTGCATCATTTACAGTACATGTATTTAGATGTGTCATGATTTGCATCATGTACAGTAAAGGTATTCAGATGTGTCGTGATTTGTAATATGTACAGTACAGGTATTAAGATGTGTCATGATTTGCAATATACACAATACAGGTATTCAGATGTGTCATGATTTGCAATGATACACAATACAGGTATTCAGATGTGTCATGATTTGCAATATGCACAATACAGGTATTCAGATGTGTCATGATTTGCATCATGTACAGAACAGGTATTCAGATGTGTCATGATTTTAAATATGTACAGAACAGGTATTCAGATGTGTCATGATTTTTAATATTTACAGAACAGGTATTCAGATGTGTCATGATTTTTAATATGTACAGAACAGGTATTCAGATGTGTCATTGCTCTGTTAGTAAGAATCGGTGGTGCAGGTTGTCTGTCAAAATCTACTGAAATTGAAATTGAAATAGGATCTGTTATAATGTATGTGCTGTTATTTTTCAGGTTATTTTCCGTGTATTACCTCCATTTATTAGAGTAGATGATCCATACAGTGAGAAAGTTCAAGATTTATTGAAATTAACTAATTTACGTGTCAACTTAACAGAATTACATACATTAGGTACATGTATTGTTCTTTATCGTATAATATGTGTAAGTTGTATGGAAACTTTTATGATCAAAAGTCTGCATTCCCATTTATTTAGCTTGATTGTCCAGTTCAGGATATAGTGGATTGATTCTACAGAAAAAGAACATTTTAAAATCCAGACTTGTAATGTACATCTTTTCAATGCAATTCTGGGAAATAAAGACTAACAATTATATTTGTTATTTCAGGTGATACATTATTAGATTCTAGACCTGAAATTAAAGAGAAATATTACTATTCTATGTATGATATGACTGTAAGAGGTAGTTGTTCTTGTTATGGTCATGCTGCAAGATGTTTACCTGTTCCTGGCTATGATACCAGACCTGATATGGTGAGTCAACAGTTATAATCCGTTCTTTCTAAGCTTGATCACTTGGGGCCTTAGTCTCAAAAAATTAAGATTTTAAGAAATACAGTCATCTGATTGGATAACAAAACTAAATTTGATATCAATTTTAGTGATTTACCAATCAGATGACTTAAACACTGAAATCATTTTAACTTAAGTTTCAAGAATAAGACCCTTGGTTGACAGAGGCCAAAAGTTTCATAAATAAAAATTCTTCAGTGATATTAGATTCAGTGGTATAATTCATATATTGAGTGGGGCTCTAAAAGTTTCAAAAAGATTAATTGTTGATTTAGCCATGATGAAATGTTTGCTGGTTTCAGTCTTGTCTGTATAACCAGCAGGTCTACTATTGCATTTAAAGTATTTCCTTGTGTTCAAGAGATGATATAAAATTTGGTGTTGAAATTACATGTCTTCAGTATATGTATGAAATGAAATGGTGAATCTTGGTTGCAGGTTCATGGTCAATGTGAATGTCAACATAATACTAAAGGTTTAAATTGTGAGATGTGTCAGGATTTTTATAATGATTTACCCTGGAGACCAGCTAGACAGAATCAACCTAATTCTTGTAAACGTAAGTGTTTGAATGATTTTGATTTGTTTTCTTTTGTCACATTGATTCTCAAAAATTGGAATAATTGCCAATGCAATTTGTAATCAATGTAAGTATGTTATTGTAATAATCATGCCTTCTAATGTCATTTTATACCCAATATCATTTGTGTTACAAGATGTTATTGTAATAAACATGCCTTCTAATGTCATTTTGTAGATGTTATTGTAATAAACATGCCTTCTAATGTCATTTTATACCCAATATCATTTGTGTTACAAGATGTTATTGTAATAAACATGCCTTCTAATGTCATTTTATACCCAATATCATTTGTGTTACAAGATGTTATTGTAGTAAACATGTAATCCAATGTCATTTTATACCCAATATCATTTGTGTTACAAGATGTTATTGTAGTAAACATGCCTTCTTATGTCATTTTATACCCAATATCATTTGTGTTACAAGATGTTATTGTAATAATAATGTAATCCAATGTCATTGTATAACAGTGTAATTTTATACTCAACGTCATTTGTGTGGCAATGTTATAGTAATAATCATGACTTCCAGTGTCATTTTATACCCAATGTCATTTATATTTCAGGGTGCAACTGTAATAATCATGCTACCCAATGTCATTTTGATTCGGCTGTATATGAGGCTACTGGTAGAATAAGTGGTGGTGTTTGTGATCAGTGTCAACATAATACACAGGGTAGAAACTGCCAGGAATGTGCCACATTCTATTATCAAGATCCTAATAGAGATATACGAGATCCTGAAATCTGTCAACGTAAGTATTCTAAAAAATGATTAAAATTCATTGAAGGACAGAAATTGGACAGTAATTTAATTTGCTTTGTTCATCAAAATCATTTATCTTTATGCCACAACTAAAATTACAGTATTTGATAATTATCATTCAGACAGGGTGTTCTTTATATGATATTGATAGCATTACATTGGTTATTTTTTTGAAAGAGTTCATATCAATAAATTGTATGTTTCAGCCTGTGACTGTGATCCATCTGGTTCAGAATTAAATGGTGAATGTGATGCTAGAACTGATGAATTGGCTGGTCTAGAAGCTGGTAAATGTTATTGTAAGAAATATGCCACTGGATCAAGATGTGATAAATGTATTGATAATTATTGGAATTTATTACAAGAAAATCCTGAAGGCTGTGAAGGTGAGTATTGAATACAGGCATTGTGGCCTTAAATGTTACCCAAGTTATCCATAAGGAGCCAAACAGCATTGTGGAAAATTTGATTTAGAAAAGTTAATTTATTCAATGTTATAGTTTCTATTTGGAGCACATTATGCATAATGGCGGTAGCATCTTGCTAAAACTTGGAGAGCAGAATATAGAAAATAAGTGATGTATAATTTGATATTGTCTTTTATTTCAGCATGTACATGTAATGCTATAGGTACTATTGGAGATTTTGGATGTGATCAAGTAACTGGATTATGCCGATGTAAACGTTATGTTACTGGTAGAAATTGTGATGCTTGTTATGTAAGTTTCATAGAATTAATATTAATATTATCATAGAATTTGTGGAGAAACTCACCAAGTTAAATAGGCATTAAGTTAAAACCACCTTTCATGATGACCAGGCAAATTTCAGGATATTTAAGTAGCCTAATGTGTGAAAACTGTTCATGTACAGTAAATTAAAAGCATGACATTAAATTGGAAAAGGAGTACTGGTAGAGTCATTACTTTCTGCTTATGAAGAGAACATGATCATATTTTATTTCATCTTTTACAGCCAGGATTTTTTGGATTAAGTGCCAAGGATTATGGATGTGATCCATGTGATTGTGATATCGGTGGATCATTAAGTGAGACATGTGATCAGGCTAGTGGACAGTGTCAGTGTCGACCTAATATAGTAGGACGTCAATGTGATCAGCCATTCCCTGGATATTACTATGCTGGACTAGATTATTATCTATATGAAGGTGAACATGGTCAAGCCTCTGGTGTAAGTATTATCTCAACACTTTTAGGGAGTCAACAGTAAAACTTCAACTGGAACAGAAGGATTAAAAAATAAATTGCACATAAGAATGGTCTGGAAATTGTTTTAACTTCCAAGTTACATTTTTGTGGTTTTTCCTAGGTTTATTTTGCTGGTAAAGCTAAAATTGTGGATGAAACTTTTTATTTAATCCTAGACTATATGTAAAACTATTTATTATTTCAGAATGGTAGAGTATATCTTCGTGAACCTATACCTGATGCTAAGTACTGGACTGGTACAGGTTATATGTTATTAACAGAAGGAGATAGTATGGAAATTATGTTTAGTAATATAGATTTCCCTATGTATTATGACTTAGTATTACGTTATGATCCAAGGGTAGGTTAATTTTCTACAGTACAAGAATTTATTAGAACTTGCAATTTTCATATTGTTTCATAGTATTATTTTCATCGCATAATTAATGATGATTTTATCTGATGTCAGAAAAGTTTAAGGACTTTAGATGTCATTTTCATTTATCAATCATATATTTTTTCCATTAACATTGCTGCTAGGATTCTACATGATATGTAGTCTGTTAATGTGTGTGGTAAGGTTTTATATTTCGAATCATTTGTTTCCTTTCCAATGTTCCTTGAATTCTTTTATTTTTTATGTTAATATCTTTACTTTTTGAATGTTTCCACTATTTGTACATACATGTGTTATATTTGACTTTTCTTCCTCATTTTTATAGAAGACCATTTATCCATATTGTGAGTCATTATTTGAATCTAAAAGCAAAGTACTGTATGAATCAGTTGTACATCATTATAAACTAAAATAGTGGAAAAAAAAAATAAATATGGAGTTATACAATAATTTGCCAGTGAATCGAGTTGGTTACAAAGAAATTATGATGCATTGGCTTAATTTTGTTTTTTCTGTTCAACTATTTAATTGCATGTTGATACGCCTTTTAAATGCAATGCTCACAAGATTATTAAGGTAGAAATTTTCATTAAGATTGATGGATGATTAACAAGAAACATTAGAAGATATCTGTATACTTGTAGATGCCTGAAGCCTGGAGTGATGTACGTATAACAGTAATAAGAGATGAACCTATTGATCCTAATGGACTATGTGCTAGATATAATCCTGCTGATGATGTCAAAACTGTTCGACTTCAACCAAGTAAGTTTTCCCCTGACAATCAAATATTCTGGTTATGATAACGAAATAGGACAAACAGAATAAATACAAACAATTTTCTGTTCATTTGATTAAATCCAGACTTTTACAGTAACATTCTTAGAAATATCAATGGTATTGTTAACTGAAAATAAGTTGTTGACATTATGCTGCTGTAAAAACTAGAAAACTGTATTTGAAGTGGAATTAAATTCTAATATTTGGACATAAACCTTAAAACCAAATAAAATAACCTATTTGTGATGCATCTGTTTATTTTTCAATAGGTAGATTAAAACAAACAATATTTGTGGAATAAGATGTAATTTATGATGATATTAAATTTCAATAAATTTGTGTGAATAGGCTCAAGTTTTATGACATTTGTAAATTTGTAAGTGTACATTGGTCAATGTAATGTAAATATTATAATGATATATGATATTATAGGTAACAGATTTATTAGTGTATCACCACCAACTTGTTTTGAACCTGGTAAAAAATACACTATTAGAATAGATCTCAATAGATATAAAGAGGGAGAATCTACTCCACAAGCTACTGTATTAATTGATTCAGTAAGTTACCTTATGTATTATTCTTAGATAATTCATAATATGATAACATATCCTTTCCATTTCTTTCAGAGAAAATCATAAAACATTTATCTAAAGAAAAATCCTTATTATGAAGTTTATGTCTTTGACATTTTGACAATGTTCAAGTCTAGTAAAACTTTGGATTATGTCTTATAAAAGCATTCTAATTCAATTTAAAACTTTGATTATAGATCTTATTGGTACCTAATACAGACAGTATACCAATATTTCAAGGACCAGGTTTACCTCTATATTTGAAGAACCAATTTACACGATATCGATGTGATCAAGTACAACTGGGTTCACTACAGTCTAATATACCTGATGAGTGTAAAAAACATTATTTCAGTATCTCTGCTGTTTTACATGGAGAAGCTTTAGGTAACCATTTTTTAAAACCCACTATAATGTATTTTACCACTCTAAAATTATAGACATATCTTTATAAGGGGTGATAATTATTTCTTTCACATTATATCCAACCATAACCATCATTGTGTTCAAACCAGGCCCTCATTTCTTTTTATAGATCTGCATATTGAGCTTGTATCTGATGTATCAAACCCTGTAAGTTTTATGTCATTACCTTACAATTATAATTTCAGCATGTGATTGTGATTTGACTGGATCATTAAGTCGTGACTGTGAACCACTAGGTGGACAGTGTCAATGTAAACCTAATGTAGTAGGTAGAAGATGTGACCAGTGTGCTCCAGGAACTTATGGTTTCGGTCCTAGTGGTTGCCAACGTAAGTAATTTAAGTTAAAATGAATATGATATATACAATAATGAATTATATTTTCACTGTTAAAATAGCGCTCAATACATCAATTATAGAGCAATATACATTTTGAAAACATTGTAGTATATTATAACATGTTTCTTTTTGATAACGGTAAACTTGTAACTATTAATGACATATTCAATGAGTAATAATTATAAAGTTATATTATTAGAATAGTTTTATTATATTAACATCTCGTACTATTTTTTATAGCCTGTAATTGTAATGATATTGGAGCATTAGATAATTTCTGTAATGGTACCAGTGGACAATGTTCCTGTGCTGATAATGTTGGTGGACAGACATGTGATGTTTGTATTCCTGGTAATTGGGGATTTCCACAGTGTCGTGCCTGTCAGTGTAATGGACATGCTGAAACGTGTGATAATTTATCTGGAAGATGTATAAACTGTCAAGATAATACCCAGGGTGATTACTGTGAAAGGTAAGAAATTATGAATAATGTTCCTTCCAAATCTACTCACATACAGGAATGATATTTGTCTATTTCAATAGAATATTTTTAATTCTTTTTTTTACGCACATAGCATAATAATAATACAGAGAGAATCATCTTTGCAATGAAATACCATATAATGCCTGGTTAAAATCTGGTTAACTCGAATAAGTGATCTTTCCTCATTATTCCGGTTGACCCAGCCATAAATGGATATAGTTAATGTACTACTAATGGTTAACGCTATGGTTTTATGTACCAAGTTTAGTAAATTATACTACATGTATTTTGTGTAAATTTTCAGATGTTTAGATTTTTACTATGGTGAACCAAGAGGTGCTCGTATACCATGTCAACCCTGTATGTGTCCTGGAGGTCCTAATAGCACATTGAACCATGCTGACCAGTGTTCTCTAGATCCTAGATCTCGCTCTTTTATTTGTGACTGTAAACTTGGATATCAGAGTGAGTACAGTTTAACTTTTATTGTGTTAAAATATTGTCAAATTCAAGTTCATCCAGTATCTCTTCTACACAATCCAAATATACTCCATCTAGTGGCCAATTGATTATTTGGTTTACATTCAATTTACTGTATTTTATCATCATGAGAGTGAAGGTTTTAGGTTTTTTGGGAGCATGTTTGTCAAATCAAGGTTTCAATAAGTAGAATTTTTTTGTTTTTTTTAACAGGACCAAATTGTGAGATATGTGAAGAGAATTATTATGGTAATCCATTACAAGAAGGTGGTAGTTGTCAGAGATGTATTTGTAATAATAATATAGATTTTGCTATGCCTGGAAGCTGTGATAGATCTACTGGAGAATGTTTAAAATGTCTGTATAATACAGAGGGATATAATTGTGAACTCTGTACAGCAGGATATTTTGGTGAAGCTTCAGAACAGAACTGTAAACGTAAGATTTTTAAACATACTGTGTTTTAATGGTATAATGCTATTGACTCCTATTCCTTATGATAATGTGACAACATAGTAAAAGGGTTAAAGTGCAGTATTAGCTAACAGTATTTATTTATACAAATAATGTTTCATGTAATTTCATTTCAACCTTTTTTTATTTTTCAGAATGTGTGTGTTCATCATTAGGAACAGATATGAGTCTGGGAGAATGTGATCGTAATAATGGTCAATGTCCATGTCTACCTAATGTTATTGGTCAGGAATGTGATAGATGTGCTGTAGGTTATTATAATCTGTCTAGCGGAGTAGGTTGTTCAGCTTGTAACTGTGATCCTACTGGTTCTAATTCTCTAGAGTGTAATCAGGTTAGTATTCACACTTCCTCTCTAAAGAACATCAAGCTTGGTATATGATGCTTGTAAGGTAACCTAGTAAAGCTACCTTCTTTCTTGAGAGTGTTTTGACTGGATACATTCCTTTTCAGTTTACTGTCAATTAAACCAAACACCTTTTAATGGAAAGTCTTTTAGTCGACATATTGCCTTTATCAGATTGAATTTGATTTAATTCTATTGTTAGTTGCAAAAGTTATTCTAGGTATTACAGCCATGTTCCTCCTATGTTCATGTTTACAAAAGAGCTCTATTTGTTAATTTACAAATTTATTGCCTTGTTCAACATTATACATTGGAAAATTATCTCCAATCAAGAAAAGAGTTCTAGTGTCGAGCAGAGAATATACATGACTAGAATGCTCAAAGTAATTAACAATTATACAGTTGTACATTAACTTTTGCTCAAATTGTTGTTATTAGATTGATGGACAATGTGATTGTAAAGATGATAGAGGTGGAAGAACTTGTAGTGATTGTGCTGATTTGTTATATGGCGATCCTAGAGACCAGTGTTATGGTAAGTTACTCTTTAAGTTAATATGTTTATGTGGCTTTTTAAGAAATGTGGCTTTTTCAATCTCAGAAATAACAAAGGCTTTTCTAATTTTGCAAACAAAAGCCAAAACCATATTGAAATATTTCTTTTTTAGAAGACTGTAGAGGCACAGTAGTTGGGGATTTGTGAACGAGAAATTTAACAGAAGACGAGATATATACTACAGTGGTACAGAAGAGAATACCTTATAACTAATATATGGCTCAATTTTGATGAATTTCAGATTGTGCCTGTGATAGACGTGGCTCCAGATCATTACAGTGTGACAGACGTACAGGACAGTGTGAATGTGTCAGAGGTGTAACAGGGTTAAAATGTGACCGTTGTGCTCGAGGAACTACTGGTGAACTACCATATTGTGTACCTTGTGGAGAATGTTTTGATAACTGGGACAGGATCATCCGAGTTTTAAGAGGTAAGCATTGACATGTTATTAATTATCATTTCACTTAGAGAACAATAGACTTCAACAGATACAAATTGGATTTGTTGACCATTTTATGAAAAGGAATTTTAAGGCACTAGACTGTAATTCAGATGAAGGCCTATCCAATGTCATATAATATATATATTGACAGCTCACGTATAGGTCTCATATATGGTTGCATACTGATGTCAACATCACTGATTTCAAAGTCTATTAAATGTTTATATATTTTTAGACCAGACAGCTAGTCTAGTAGAGACAGCAAGCAACATACAGTCTACTGGTGCTATTAAAGCCTTTGATACAGAGTTTAAACAGATGCAGAGCAATATCAATGAGATACAGAGTATTATATCTAGCTCTAATTTAACACAAGTTGATGTTAGAGATATAGAAACAATGTTAGATTATATCAGGTAAATCATAGTTGACAAATAACAAATTTATGGCATTCCTGAAACCAAACTAGAGCCATTTTATATTGAAATGCAGCATTTCTGAAAAAAAACCCTCAATTTTAACTCAATGCACACTGCATGGAGTTGCCTGTCTGCATTGGTCCAATACAAAGCAAGAATTTAAGACAATAAAGGTATTTTTTTTTCAAAACACAGCTATTAAGTTAGCTAGCCAGAAATGGCTATATCTGCAATATATTATATCATGTATTTATTTATATTTCAGACGTAATCTAACAGAGAACAGTAAATCTATTAATAATGTGGATGAAGAATTAAGTAATACAACAGCTAGAGTACAGATTGGTAATACTAGAATTGGTGTATTGAAACAACAGGTAGCTGATTTAAAAGATTTGGCTGAACGACTCCGGGCTAATGCAACTGATATCCAGGCTAGAGATGTAGAAGGTAGGAAGCATGATTAAAAGATATTTTTATCTTTGGTATGATGAGTGAACTTCAATTTCAAAGATTGTGGGATTTAAACATATCAAAAACAATACCTTGCAGACGACAATCCATTTATTCCACTACCCTGGCTAAGATGAGACACCTGCAAGGTTTATGTAGTAATTTATTTCAGTAGCATTAAATCTTTTTGTTTTCAAAAATTGGATTTGATTATACATTCCTTTCTTTAACAGGAGCATTGAATATTACCCGTGAAGCTGAAAGACGGTCCCAAGATGCTCAGAGGCTGGTAGACAGTACCTCACCATTATTGACTGATTCTGAACGAACTAGAAGAAGAGTAGAAGATCTTATTTCCCAGAATGGAGCTCAATTTGATGATAAATTAAAGAGAAATAAAGCTGAATTAGATAAATTGGATAATAAGGTCACTGATCTAGGAGGCAGAATTGCAAACATTAACAACATGGTAAAAAATCTTTGGTTTTCTATAGGATTAAGTTTTGAAAATAGATAACAGTGAGCTTTCTGATACATTTTGTAGTCCTAATGTGTTGATGTATTTAGTTATGATTTATAGTTTGGCGTTAAAGTATCTGTTAGAGTATCTGTATTTTTTTTTTTAATATTGCTTTTTTTGTGGTAAAACTGATGATATATAAATGTTTCTAGTTCTAGGTTTGTAGTAAAACTGATAATGAAATATATTATTTTAGGTTTGTGGTAAAACTGATGATATGTAAATATTTCTAGTTCTAGGTTTGTAGTAAAACTGATGAAGAAATATATTATTTTTAGGTTTGTGGTAAAACTGATGATGTATTTTTTTAATATTTCTAGGTGCCTGGTTAGTATTTCTAGGTTTGTGGTAAAACTGATGATGTATTTTGTTAATATTTCTAGTTGCCTGCTTAATATTTCTAGGTTTGTGGTAAAACTGATGATGTATTTTGTTAATATTTCTAGGTGCCTGGTTAGTATTTCTAGGTTTGTGGTAAACTGATGATGTATTTTGTTAATATTTCTAGGTTTGTGGTAAACTGATAATGTATTTTGTTAATATTTCTGGGTGCGTGGTTAGTATTTCTAGGTGCATGGTAAAACTGATGATGTATTTTGTTAATATTTCTAGGTTTGTGGTAAACTGATAATGTATTTTGTTAATATTTCTGGGTGCGTGGTTAGTATTTCTAGGTGCGTGGTAAAACTGATGATGTATTTTGTTAATATTTCTAGGTTCGTGGTTAGCATTTCTAGGTTTGTGGTAAAACTGATGATGTATTTTGTTAATATTTCTAGTTGCCTGGTTAGTATTTCTAGGTTTGTGGTAAAACTGATGATGTATTTTGTTAATATTTCTAGTTTGCCTGGTTAGTATTTCTAGGTTTGTGGTAAAACTGATGATGTATTTTTTTAATATTTCTAGTTGCCTGGTTAGTATTTCTAGGTTTGTGGTAAAACTGATGATGTATTTTGTTAATATTTCTAGTTGCCTGGGTAGTATTTCTAGGTTTGTGGTAAAACTGATGATGTATTTTGTTAATATTTCTAGTTTGCCTGGTTAGTATTTCTAGGTTTGTGGTAAAACTGATGATGTATTTTGTTAATTCTAGGTGTGTTGTTAAATATAGTTTTGTATTTTTTTTTCAAGGTTTGTGGTAAACCAGGTGATCCATGTGATGTATTTTGTGGTGGAGGAGGATGTAATAAATGTGGTGGTAGTAATTGTGGAGATGGTGCTGTCACTAAGGCTGAAAGTGCTCTAGACTTGGCCAATCAGGCAGCAGAAGTTTTAAAAATCAAAGAAGCTGAAGCTGAAGACCTACTCAGTGATGTATGTTATTTTATTTTAATTAATTTGACTGTGCCGTTTTGTATAAAAAAAATATAATTGACTAATCTAAGGAATTATTAAGTATGGATGCTTTTACTTTAAATTTATAGAGAAAATCCTAGTTATCGTCTATAGACATTACTGTTATCAGGTATATTTCATCTCTAGGTTCGAGAAGCTAAGAGAGGAGCAGAAGAAGCTAAGGATGATGCTCAAATGGCCTACGATGTAGCTGTTAGTGCTAAAAACCAGTCTGAATCTGTACGCACCAATCTTGAAGACTTATTGAATAGAATCAGTGACTTCTTACAACCACAGAGAGCTAGTCCAAATGATGTCAAAAAGGTGAGATGTTTTAAGATCATTAAAATAAATCTTGAATTTGGGGAAGAAAATGTTACCAATGCAACATCTGTACAAATTATCAACAGACGGACCTGTCCCATATTATTTCAATTTGACACATTCAATTTATTTGTAGATTGCTGCAGAGATTATGGATATGAGTATATCTTTAACACCTAAACAAATAGAAGATTTAGCTAGTAAAATTAATCAAACTATACAAGGCCTCCAGAATATAGACAGTATCCTAGTTGATACAAGAGATGATTTAAATCAAGCCCGGAGATTGAAACAGCGAGCTGATAATGCCTCGTAAGTAAAAATCAGATTATTACATGTATAAGGTTATTTAATGAGCAAAAAAACTTAAGTTCTGATAATCTAGTGCAGGCCAGTGCTCCACAATTTTTGGCATACGTTCTGAAATCGATTCAGATTTCCAGTTCTGCCCATTACCAGGTTAGGTATTTGGAATCCAAATATTTTTCGTCCATTTACAGACTGGATGCTAATGCCATATTGAAGACAGCTCAAGAGGTATTAAGTGCTTTAAATGGTGCCAAGAATGCACAAGAAGAAGCATCTAAAGCCATCACACAAGCTCAGACTGATATTAAAGATGCTGAAGCTGATTTGACAATGGTAAGTCTTACTTCTTTCTAGCCTCTGATATCTATTTTTTATGCCCATTTACCACCCAGGAACAGATGATTGTTTGAGGGAAGAAAGAAAGAAACATAATAAGATATATTACTAACATAGTTAACAACAGGGATTCTCAACTAGTGACGTGCTCCATTTTTAGCGCATGTAAAATGGCTTAGACGGAATTGGAAAAAACAAAAATTTACTAGCCACATTAATATTATTTTTGTATGAAGAGAGGAGAAAATAACGAATCGTGAGTTCTTGATTCAGCACCTACCAACAACATCAAGTGCTTTTCATGGTCATCATCGCATGAGCACGTGCATAGCGTCCAGCCTTTTCCTGTAAGGGGGCGGTGCAGGCAGGCCCTTGCTAAGGTTCATGGCGCTTTAGCACTTCAAAACGATGAGTGGCACTGCTTTTTTACTTCAGAAACTCTGGTTTACAACATTTTTATAAACTCCAAATCATTAAATGTTTAACAGTCAAAGTGGAAACTTTGCAATTGGTTTGAAACTGAACCACCCTTAAAACATGATTTCCTTTCAACATTGCAATAATTTTGTATAACTTGTTGTCCATGTCTGTGGGGAAAGGCAATTCATGCTAATAAACTGACGATTGTGATGTTTTCTTCAACAGATTGAATCAGAGACAGCCTCAGCAGCAGATAAATCTAATGTTAGTTTAGCTATCATTGGAAAATTAAAAGAAAGGTTAAATGAACTTCGACTCAAGTTCACACAAAATGATCTTAATGTGAAGAGAGCTGAAGAAGCAGCCCAGATGGCAGTTGATTTGGCTAATAAAGCTGAGAGGGTGAGTTACACTAATACAGACCGATGTATGAATATGAAGTCTTGTGTTATCATTTGCATCTCAATGTTTTAATCTGAATAGGCTAGTTATCTTACTCTATAAAAACACAAGCTATCTTTTCAGCCCATGAAAGTCATTATATTGCTTTTTTACATGTAAATTATTCCTTATTAAATTACATGCTGTTTTAAAAAAAAATATTATAGATTTTCCTATTGTTAAACATAATTCCTTTCTATTTCAGGATGCCAATGATTTAACCAATAAATATCAGGATGCTTCCAACCAATTAAATCAGGACTATGATTCTACAACTGAGTCCCAGAAACGAGCTAAGCGTTTAATGGAAAGAGCAGATCTCTTAGCTAAAAATACACAAGAAAAACATAATAAACTTAAAAGTAAGTATAATTTGAGAACCTTTACAAACATATTTATATACATGTATATGATTTGCTTGAAAACTTATGTTGAGAATATTAAATTTTGAACCTTACTGATCTGTTAAATACATTCATTGTACATCTTAGACATTTGTAATCTACAATTTGAAAGTCTTAAAAAAAAAAATCATTTATTTTCCATAGTAAGTTGTATTCTGTCTGCTTTTGTTATATAGGTTGTTTGAATTTATTTCACTTAATATTTTCTTTTTACAGAAATTCAAGGTGAATTTGATGAAAACCAGAAAAATTTAGTAGAATTGTCTAATTTGATAGATGAATTGAATAGACGTATGGAAATATACCTAATGGAAATTCAAGACAAGGCAAAATATTATCGAGATTGTTAAATCCTTGATAAGGTTATCCAGACACCTGTTAGGAACTTTTGTGGAGATGAACATCCAGTCTTAAACTACTGAATGATATTATATTGTGCCAAGGAGACATTCAAATGATTTGTTAACAATCAAAGATATATTTTATAATCCGGCCATTGATTTCAGATCCAGACACAATTAAGTTGTGGAAAATAATGATCTAGGGATCTGAAGAGAATGCTTGCCGTTACATTGTCGTTGTTTTGATGATTGGTTAAATTCTGCAGATGTAGGACACAACAGATATTGTTAAATATTGATCAAAACATGATTCATAATTGTAATTAAAAAAATATATGCATGCCTTTTTTTAATTTTACTCATATTTTCTTTTTTCATTACTTAATTTACAAATTTTAATTGCTCCAGTTTTTTTTATAATCTATTTGTATTTTTAACATCATATTGAAATATTTTGTGTATATATTAATATGTTTGTTTTGTATTGTTTGTGAACTATTTATATCACAAGTGTCATCTGTCAATGTATAGGCCAGTAATTGTCTATTCACTTTCTTACCTCAATCAGTTGAAAACCTTATTCTTTGTGAGATTGGCCTTCTCAGTGTAACTTAATTTGTCTTTGTTATCATGCTCAAAAAAGTGTGGCAAAGTCTAGGAAGAAGTTATATATCGGGTATTTTTTTTTTTGGTAAAGAGTTAATTTTTGTCACCTTGAAAATATTTCTGGTTAAAAAATAACACAATATCAGGTTCTTGACATTTTAATATTAAGGTAGCTGTAGATCACATACAATGTATTTACTCTTTATTATTATTCATTTTCATATAAATAGCATTATCGTTTTCTTTAACACATAATAACTTGATTGAAAATACAACTAAGATGATGATAAAACATTCAAATCCATCTTTGTATGTTTGTGCCATATGTATTGATCTACAGAACTTGATAATAAAGCAGGGTTGTGCTTCTGATTTAGATAAAATACACCATTGATATTTAAGACGCATACCAGAAAAATTGACAAGAGAAAACTGATATATTAAATAACAGTTCAATGACTCCATTACTAACAATTTGAGAACTTAAATATTGTATTGAGCAGTGGCACTGAAAATCTTTTTTTTTTTTTATTCCTTACAAAATAAATACTCTAATTGAAATCATACCTCATTACTCATATAAGTTAGCCATTAGATCTACTGTAGTTCAATCTTTATAGTATATGCTTTTATTTTGAGTCCTGCTGTACATTCATGAGGTATACTAATGCACCCTGTACTTTTAACATAGTTTGCATCTCAATTGCTGAAAATGCTTGGTAAAAATTAGTTTTTCTTGCACAAACAGATACAATTTATTTGGTATTAAAATCACTGGTGTTTTGTATTTGATGTATAAGTAGTGTACAATGGTATACTAATATATTTGTAAATAATATTTAGTGCTAGGTTAAATGTATTTGTGTAGTTTTATAATGTAGTGATAGAGCTTTTCATACTAGTGTTCGCCAATATTGTTTTAGTGGTAGTGTTGTTTTAATATAATTGTATAGTTTCTACTATAGTCATGTTTAGAGCACTTAAAATACGTCTTGGCTTACAAGTGAAAGCAATGCCTAAGTCATATACCATGCCGTATTCCCAGGGCAATTACAGTATTGAACATTAGTCCCCCAATTTAACTTACAAATCCTCTCAATTTGATAGATATACCAGATGAAATGATAAAATTTGGCACAGGTTTTTGATAGATTCCTTTAATATGATGTAAGGGATATTGGGATTAGCTTTTTAAAGGGAATAAATGTTTTCAATTTTATCATGCAAGACGAACAATCCAAAATAATTAAGCATAATGAATCTTGTTTTTTGTAAATGTATATTAACTTGTCATGTGTCATTTTCAATTTATATTTGCCGAATCTCTTTGGTTTCTTCAAATTATTGTGGACAAAATTAAACAATGATATCTATGTGTTAATAATTAGTGCATTATTTTATAATTTTTATATCAAAATAAAAATCTTATCTTCAAACTTATTGGATTTGTTTCTTGTATCAGTTCTCATAAGCATTGTATTATCCCCTTCCTTATCATATATTTTCCAGAAGCTGCTTGAATCAAGGATGCAAGATTGTACTACCTTTAAGGTTTTACACAAGAAAATTTTTCTAAAATCCAGATTCTGTAGGTTACAACCATGAAATAGTCCTAAAATAGTCAGCTAATTTCATGATTTGTTAAAAAAATACTTGTATCAAAGCTGTTTGTCATTAAAGGCTTCAAATATTTGACCTATGTACCTTAGTCTTAGAAATGGGAGTTTTCGTGCAGTTCTAATACTTCTGCCAACATATATTCAAGAACCAAATCAACTTGGGAACAATGACCCTTAACTAAATACAACTAAGCTATATTGAGAAAATAAGATTTATTCACTCCATTTATAGAAAATATTAATAATTTGTATATTTTATCACCCATATAGTTGTGTATTGATATATAGTTGTGTATTGATATGTTTCATAATATACAATAAATTATATACATAACTTTAAATACAATTTACAATATAAAGAATGACATGATTGCAAGGATTCATTAAAAAAATATAGTTAAACCAGACCAGTTTTACAATCTTAAGCAAACAGCGATAAATTTTTAATTCATTTCATCTGTAGGTAAATAACTTGCAAACTCTATACATTACTAGCAAACTCTATAAATAACTTGCAAACTCTATACATTACTAGCAAACTCTATAAAAAACTTGCAAACTCTATACATTACTAGCAAACTCTATAAATAACTTGCAAACTCTATAAATGACTTGCTAACTATAAACTCTATGCCAGATGGTTTACATATAATACTCATTAAACATACATGATATGTAAAGCTTGCTGTTGCACCCTAACACGAAGGAAAATACATCAAAAAAAGTTTAAATTTAATATAACTGTACTTTAAAAGTAACTATTGCCATCAGCTAAAAGCTGAATGTTGTAATATTAAGCCCAAGATACAACAAACCAGTTTTCCCATCACTAATAACTTCAATTAAAGATTATACCAAATAGTAGACTATATAGTAGTAGAGTATATAAGAATAGAAATATATGCAACCTGTAAATTAATCAATTTGGTTCCAGCGGATCTATTTGACTAGTTGATCATGAATGAACCATTTATTGTGTTGCTGTATCAATGACTGGAAGTTACTCCTGCAGACATGATGCCATGAAGTAATCCCCATAAATTAGAAATTCAAGGTAAACCCATCATGTCAAGTAAACAATTAATTTTAATATTTAACCAAGCAGTTTGTTTATAACGTAACTCAGTAATATAAGTAGATGGTAGGTGAGTAAAACCTAATTTACAACCTAATACTGCTCCAGCTAAACATGCATTACTATTACTATCACCACACTCTTTAATTATATCTAGTATTGTTTCTCTAAAATATACAATTACAAGTATTAAATATGGTAAAATTCAAAGAGACATCAGACTTCATCAGACATCTGAACCATGATAGATACAAAATGTCTGGAATTCATTTGAGCTGTCATTAATACTTCAGCTTTAAAAAGTCCAAAACTAATTGACATGCGCTTATCTTGCACAATTGTTTAATATAGTTTGGAATAAGGCTGTAAAATTTTCATCATTTGAAACTTTTATTGTGAAAAAAAAAACATGTCGAAATAGATAAAAAGATTGATTTCAGTGTACAGTGAAGAGTGAAGTGTACTGAAACATCGACATGTAATATTAATATATAAAAATACTTACTTGTAACTTAGTTTTGATTTTAAGGCTATAATAGAGGCTATGATAGGTTTATAGATATGACTTCCTTTACCATCTTCTCTTGCCTTTAAACTGTATTAATATACAAATTAAACTAATTCTCACATATAAAAGAGAAAACCCTTTAAAGATTGAATATATTAAAAGGGAGATCACCCTTGGTCAACAACCAAGTTTTATCGATGAAGAACGTTTATCCAGAATGATGAATATATTATTAACCCATTAGAATGTTTAAACTTTACCAAAACACTAGCAACCTTGTTTGAAATATCATTGTGAAAAGTACAGTTAACTTACTCTGAAATATCTTTAACATTTCTTAAAGCCAGAAATTCCTTTTTATCTTCTTCATTTTTTAAATATTGCACACCATGCTTGAGAGCTTCTGTTATTATTTCATCTATATCATCTTCTTTTCTCTATAAAATATAAACAAAGTACATATTTGGCTAATTGGTTTGTTGATATCATCAGTGATAATAATACATTGTATAATTACATAGACAAACCAGATGTCAGACTTTCATTCTAAAACGTTTAAGAGAAAATGGAGCACTGTAAGCTGAGAAAGCAAACAATCACATCCCTTTACAATTTATCAGCTGTATCATGTTCTTTAGGCAACCCTTAAAGCAGTTACAAAATGATTACCTGTAATAAGAGAGCTATTAATGTTGAGACAGTAACACAACTGGCTATACAGATTGGTTTATTATGACTAGCCAGACAAATCCTAACTGAATTATTCTTTACTTCCGTTATATCATGAAATGATGGTATTCCTGCAAAATATATAAATAAACTGGAATTGTATGATATAGTATGACATAGTAAATGTCATACTTGTAACTATTTTTATTTAGTTTCATAAAAAATTTTTGAGCAAAGAAGGGCCTACCAAAGTGCATTTTGTCAGGAGAAAATTTCCTTTCAAGGTTAATTACCTAAAATACAGCTTCTAAATACAGCAGCATTGTCAACTCCGAATTCATCACAGGCACCTGGAGTGATGGCGTTAGCAGCATACTGGTGTGGTTGACCAAACATCTTTTTTTTTGGACTATCAATACCAGAGTCAGACATAGAATCATATGAGTCATTATCTCCATTAAGAGAGTTGTGAGTCATAGGTGGGTCTTTAACAATCTGTTCAGCAGAGTGGTGAGGGTTAGTTGTGTATTCTTTTATCTTAAATAACTGAAATTATAACATATACATTAAAACTCCACTACACATAGCACAATTGTAGAAATTGTAAATTGTAGAGGTCAGATGTTTGATTTCATTCTAGGACATGATATGGGTAGCTGATATTGATTCCTGTCTGCTCCAGAAATTTGGATACATTAAGATGCATTTTTGAATTTGTCTGACTTATACAATGTTCTGTTAGCACTTTACCGTTAGCATCTGACCAGCTACAAGCAGTGTGTTGCCATTACACATAAAAAAGGCAAGAAAACTCCATTTGAATCTCTTAAATGCTTACCTGAAGTAGTGTTGGGCTCAATACTATGCCTTCAACATCACCCAACTCACTAAAACCATACCGATACCAGTGATATAGTCTTTTAGCAAAATCTAATTCATCTACAACTCCTGCCCAGGATATAATAGAATCTAAGACAATAATCTGAAATATATAGAAAGTCTTTAGTATTGAAGCAATTGATGTATTTTATGAACTAGTGTTTCTTATGCACAATCCTTGCCTTTAACCTATAGATAATAGATTTCTATGTTGGCTAGAAGATTGCAGGCCGCATTTCCTTCAAATTTTACATGACGCAGCAGGCTGCACGAAATCACTCGCGGGCCGCAGTTGGCCTGTGGGCAGTAGGTTGCACAGGCCTGAGTTAACTGATTAATCACTTCAACGGCACAAATAATGAAGCACTACAATCACCTTTTCTAGCTATAAAAGCCATTTTTACAGAGGCTGTTGTTGATATACTATTAAAGCTATTTCAGGGTACATACCATATGATCCATATTAGCTGTCCAATCACCTTGTCTCCACCATACTCTATTTTCATCAACAATAATATCTTTATAACTTATATATCTGTCTGGGTAATAAAAACTACATTCATCTTCTGTCATCCAGCGAGTTGCTATACCTAATGCATCACCTATTGCTGCCCCATAAAGTAAACCTTTATATAAGAATAAAACATAACATATTTGATGACTGGAATCTGACAAACTTTACAATCTACAATTTACATAATATTTTACAAGTTAAGATGTTGAATTTAGAAACAACTCCAAGGGAAGGTTATTTGTTACTATGTCAAGATATAAAAATCTGAAAATATCCATTACATAAAAAAGAAAATTTCTGAAAAATTGTTCAAAATTTGAATAAATTATTTTCATAGCGTACCGGTTATTTTATCTGCAAGTTCATCTGGTCCTAGACCAGTTGCATCTGCTGGTGGTAATAGAGGAGTTTTTATTCTTGCTGGGGTATTGGTTGTTTCAGTTTGTACTTTGATGTAATGTGAATGGATGGAGGGATTGTTTGATTGAACATTTTGGCACTGGTTACCACGGACACGGGGAAAGACATTGACAGTCATTTTGATTTCGGATGCTGAGCATATTGATACACAAGAAAATTTTCTACGTAAGAATTTCAATATAGCAGATGAACCTTCATTTGATATGCATTGTGGTGGAACAGTTAATCTATTATCTGAGGCTAGAATTAAAGTCAAAGTTTCACATCCACCTAAAGATACTGGCAATACACGTAATTTATTGTGTGAAACATTTAGTTTACTCAGTTTTTCCATTTTACCAAAATCTTCTGGTAAATCTTTCAACTGATTGTGTGATAGATCGATTTTCTCTAATTTAACTAAATGTACAAAAGATTCTGGTAAGTCTTTTAATTTGTTGCGTTGAAGCATTAGGGTCTGTAAGTGAAATAAGAGTCCAAAACTTTCTGGTAGATATTCTAATGCATTGTTACTGAGATCTAAGCTTGATAAGTGTGGCAATCGTAGAGGCAACTCTGGAGGCAGTTCTGTGATGGCATTAAATGAAGCAGACATGCTCTCATAGAGAGACACTGAATCCCTGATGTTCCATGGTAGTTCTGTAAGGCAGGCCTCATGGTAGCTTCCTTTCGTGTGCTGAAATTAGAGTGAAAACTTGTTACCGCATCATCCAAATTAATTTTCTATGTAAAAATTCTTAGTAAAATGCAAAAAGCATACTTAAAATACCTGTACATTAAAATATCTGATTACAAAGTATACTGGACTCTTTACTGCTATATCTAAAAAAAAGATTAAGTACCGGTAATCAAATAATATCACATACTGACCTTTTCATATTGTTTGTAAGATATTTTCCGACTCAAATTCAGTTCTTTCCTTTCATCATCTCTAACTGGTGCTAAATCATGTACCTCTACATTTCCCATCTTTCTGTACTGCTACGAACAGACAATCATTTCTATATCTGTTCAAATAAAATAGCCTATAAATTATATTGCCTGTGGATGATAATTGCTGCTATATATTACTTATACACCAGTAGTGATTGGTAAGCTAATAAAAGTCTCATGGAAAATGTTCAAATGTAAACTATTCTCTCCATATACACAAACAAATAACTTCAGCGTGTCAATAGAACTTATGCCAGCAGTAGTGCTACACATTCAAATTTACAATCGAAACTTTTCGGATTAAATCTGTCAACGTCAAATTCTATGTACCAAGATGTTTAAGTTAAGTAATACCACAGTAAAGTAGGAAAAATCTAATAGTTATTTTGATCATAGAGAGAAAACATATTGTGGGTAATAAATGTGTGAATTAATGTCAATTAAGACGTTTGACATTTAAGATTTTACCAAAAACAACTGCAAAATTTGTTTCTTTCTTCGGATGGACACGAAGGCATTGTGAACAACGTCATCAATATTCGTGCAGTTTGTGTTTACGTTCTGGGTATGTTTGTTTCTTTCACTTAGTCGAAAATGGATAACCAGGAAAGGTGAAAACGATATTTATTGGATGCTATAAATAGATCTCCAATCATTTTTGAGATTTTAAGCTAATCTGTACTGAAGCTTTGTCCACACTTTCAGTTTCCATAGCCCGAATAATGCTACACTTACTTTATTAGATGACCGTGACCATAAAAAATTACATTAAAATAGCCCAAATAAATGCATTTTTAAAAATTTCATTTATCTATTTTCAAGGATGGAATTTAGAAGGCATTACATCTTCATCTTGTACTCTACCGCAATGGCCCACTTTCTTCACGGTCAGCGATTTGCTTAAATTGTTGCAATTGTTGGGGCCTATATGAGCTTACGCCAGAGAATGAATTAGCCTAGCCCTCGATTTCATGCGGAATTATTTTTTTAGTCTCTCTGTCGGGGTTTGTATTCGTAAGCATACAATGCAATCATGCGATGAAATTAACACATTTAAAAACGCACGTTAAACAAGAAACAAGGTCATTGCAGTCAACCGGCCTACTAGATGAAGACATAGGCTAGTAATTGACCATTGTGAAGATGGATGCATGCTTGAGAGCTGCCACATGACCGCTTCTGTTGGAACATCTTTTGCCGAAGGCGAATGTACCTTAAAGATGGGTTCCCTTATTTTCATATACTAAAATGAAAATGCTAAGACTTATATGAATAGAAAGTAGGGGCGTTCTAATGACCCAGAAAATACTAGTTTGTCTCACATGTCCATAAAATTAATTCATAATTATAGCTAAATGAGAAGAGAATTCCCGGTAGTGAACGATCAAAAAGTATTTTTTTGTTTTTCCGGACTGTACATACATGGACATTTATGATTTGTTAAAACTCTTAATTATATGCAATAAGAGGATATTGATATGATTAAGAATACATAATAATTCTTTAGAAAAACCAATTAATTTGACACTTTTAAAAAGTAAGGAAACCCATCTTTAAACGAGCTCGCGATGTGTTCATTTTCGAGCTATTGCTCTCGAATTTGATTTGATTTGGTTCGTAGTAGCAACAGACTCACATAATATGTAAATTGGTAGATTCTGATGGATGTTTTTTCCATGAAGTTATTTCTGCTGCTGTATCAACGGTTGATACAGCTAATTTGGGTTATCGGTACTTAACGTTTCTTCTCATGGAAGCAGTATACAATACTTTCCCCATCTTCACAATGGTCCAGCTATTGCAAACTGCGTCTTATACCTTGACTGCAATGACACACTCTCACGATCGGCGATTTGATTGGATTGTTCGTCAGCAAATACTGATTCCATGACCGTTGTGAATATGTCCTGCGATATGGATTTGCAGTACTACTGCATAACTAAAAGCAAGTAGGCATATAGGCATAATACGTTTATCATGGTCATAAATAGGGCCTATGTTATGTATGTACATATTATTTTGCGTTCGTAGCAGCGTTCAACAAATAAAAAGATAGTTTGCCAGGCATGGTAATATACGCCCTATTTGATTTTAAATAAAAAATATTTAGCAGTACAGTAACAATTACCAGTATGAAATATTCGACCTTCAGACATACACGTCTTTTGAACTCTTCGGAGCAATACTGAATAATATTCAGTACGAGTTATTGCCCTTGTTCTTGAAAACGTGTTCAATTTTTAGCTCGTGAAAACTCCAGAAGGCAAATATTCAACCTTCAGCGCGGTACTGAATAATAAAACCAAGTTAAAATTAGAAAGCGTTTTCAAGAACAAGGTCAATAACTCCAATGAAACATATTTCGATTTTTTATGATTCATCCATGGGTGATAATTAACAATTTCAACACGTTTCGTCAAAATCTGTCAAGAATTGAACCTTCTAGAATGTTTACGAGCTAAAAATTGAACGCGATTTCAAGAACAATGGCAATAGGCTAACTCATAATAAATATTTTTCGATTTTTCTGATTTTCAATAGGGTTTATCCTTGGGTGATAACAAACACCCAAGTTTCGTCAAAATCCTTCAGGAATTGTGCCTTCTAGAGTGTTTACGAGCTAAAAATTGAACGCGATTTCAAGAACAAGGGCAATAACTCCAACTAAATATTTTGGATTCTTCTGATTTTCGACACGGTTCATCCTTGGGTGATAACGAGCACTCATACTCACTTGTCAAAATCTGTCAAGAATTGTGCATTCTAGAGTGTTTACGAGCTAAAAAATTGAACGCGATTTCAAGAACAATGGCAATAATTCATAGTAAATGTTTTTCGATTTTTCTGATTTTTTTCTGGGTTTATCCTTGGGTGATAACAAACACTTACACCAAGTTTCGTCAAAATCCTTCAAGAATTGTGCCTTCTAGAGTGTTTACGAGCTAAAAATTGAACGCGTTTTCAGGAACACGGGCAATAACTCATAGTAAATATTTTTCGATAGGGTTCAACCTTGGGTGATTACGAACACACACACCAAGTTTCGTCAAAATCCTTCAAGAATTGTGCTTTCTAGAGTGTTTACGAGCAATTGTGGACGGACGGACGGACATGGGTGACGGCAATATACCACCTTATTTCATGTGGGCGTATAAAAAACATACAAAAAAACCGACTGTTTTTAGAATATCTTGAATCGAAATTTCGGTTCCGTGAAAAAAAAAATCAATTTATATAAAATATCCTTTAAAAAGCTAAACTTTTTATTAATTTGATAAAGAATGGATCTTCATAATTTCAGGAAGTGGTTACCGCTCGTCTTCCGGATTTTAAAGGCAGGTGTTTTCCCCTCTTTGTGTCTTATTAATTTCGTTCAATAAGGATAGGGCTAGGATGGTTTGGTAAAACGTATATCTAAATACTTGAAATGTTTATTACTACCCCATTAAGGCTATAAACCTAGGGACTATGTTTAGGTTGCAATATTACCGTCCCTCCAGTAATAATTGTGAATTGCCGGAAAAAATTGTGAAAAAAAAAGTCTCGCCCAAGAAGACACAGCGAAATCTTCCATTCAGTTGAGACATTTTGTATTCTAGGGACAAACCACTTAACATCCGATATTTTACCAATGATTTGTCAATTGGAAGTATTGCGACATGAATATAGTCTATAGCCTTAGAGCAAGGGGGGATAACTTTGCAACAGCATTTTGACTATCGGTTAAGCAATTAACTATTTTTGTCTATTTGATTCCATGTCTTACCAAGCTTTGGTTTTTATTGGCTTTCTTTTTAAAACACTAACTTAAAGGTGTGGCAACCAGGACAAAAATAAATACCGTGGTTAAACTTCATGGTAGACCGTTAATCCAGTAATTACTGGATTCAGCAACGCTGGAAAGTTTCTGTGAATCTTAATCCGGATATGAATGCAACGAATCCTTGTGTAAGGTCGGTATTGAATAAATTCATTTCTACCTGAGCATAATCCCCTTTTCGATGTGTTCCCGACTTCAACAGTATTCTTGTTTGATAGTGACTGATTTTCATTTTAAAAAGAAATCTTTCTTGTAAAATGTTTTTATTTCATAAAATAAATCTTTACCATATATATACCTTAATTGCAACATATTTGTGATATATTATATAGAATTAACTAAATTATACACGCCTATCCTACGAGGCAACGGCTCTTTTTTATCTTCGCAGAACACCCGACTTTCATTTCATTCATACCTGGAATCTGGAATAGGCAAATCCAGGAAGTAGGTCTATTTGACTAGATTTATGTCCGCCTTATTATCCTTGTGAAAGACAAATGTGTGCTCAGTCATTTAAAAAGCAAGAATGTACAAAAAGACAAAATATACCGTCTAAAATGACGATGAAACAAAAAACTAACAAAGAAAGGAAATGCTTTTAGGTTAAGGGAGGTAATAAATAGGCTACAATAAACATACAATATCACCGTGAATAATCCGGTTGGCTATCGGATATTATATCCATGTACCCTGTTCAACTTGGTTTCAAACATTATTGTAAACAAGGAAAGAATTGACTTGTATTCAAGTTCAAAATAATCAGTTGAAATGAAAAAGTAGGATTCGTGAGTTACTCCCATATGACCTGAACAAGCACTTTCACAATTCCATTTCCGGTAAAACCCAGAGGCTGATTGTCTCGTATCTCAATTAAGAAAAGTAAATCCGCTCCACTTGAAAACTGCTCTTCTTGTATATACTTGCAACAAATGTTATTATTTGATCACGAAAAGGGTTTATTAATATTCGTTGTATTTAGCGGCTCATCAAACCATTCTAACAGGCACTGTAGAATAATGAATCACAGTGACTGATAAAAATGGCATGGCAACACCACTTAAAAATCTTCTATTTCTCAATAATCTCACTTGTCTCCAAAATAACATAAGCAATTTTTGACCAGAAACAAAGGTGAAACAATTTGTATTAAAACCGGCAAGTCAGCCCCAGGAAAGTTCTGATTTTATAGATTGCTTTCAGTGGTTTCCACAAT